CCTCTTCCAACGAGGCCACAGGTGCCGATATCGAGGCAAGGCGGTCGGTAGAATCGCCGAAGAGAGCTTTTTACTACCGCTAAGTTTAAATTGTACTCTCGTTATAGTAGATGCCCACCGTCGGCTCTGATGCGTTCTTGACATCTCCTGAACAAATTCTTATTCACTTGGGAAAGGATGTCCTACGGTATTGTACAGATGTTTCTTTGTATTGTGCCTTAATTCTTCTTCCGTTTGGAGATATGTCACATACACGTTTTTCAAGAATCCTCACAAATATGAATCGCACAGAGTCAGATCAGGAGAGCGTGCAGGCCACAAACCACGTGATGATTAGGACTCCATAAACCTCCCTTAAGGAAACTGAAGCAGTATGTGCGGTTGCGGAGTCCTGTAGAAATTAGCGTAATTAATTACGCTCTTCATTTCGCAAGATTTGGAAGAAAATCTCCAGGATACAATCCACGTAATGATTTGACACATTTTACGTAATGACAACGTTTACGTACTCACAAACACTGTTCGAGAGTGAACTTCGAGCGGCCCATCACAAACCGACTTCTCCACGAGACTGGAAAGCAAGTCTTTTGCAGGGCGAGACTTTGATATCCTCCCGTTCGCAAGGGAGTTGAGCGCACCGTTCCCCGGCGAGTGAGGATCGGTCGGCCGAGCATAATTTTTCACGATCGCGGCGCACTAATAAAATAGTCGCGCTGTACATACATAAGAATTACAAAATGTTTTGAAATGCTGTCATTATCTGCATATACTCGCTCGTTCTCGTAAGCGAAAAAGACTGAACGAGAATAGGGCCCACGAGAATCTCAAACGCCAAGAACGCAGTCTTGAGAAGGATGCGATTCGATAATCTCGTAGCCAGAGCCTTAGACACAGGGGAATGCTAACGCTTTTTGCACATATCAACACGGGTTCCAATGATAGACTTTGGATCTTACGTCCAAGTGGAAAGCGTGATGATATGTGATACTGCTTCGCAAATTCATCAAATTTCTCGGAACATACCTTGTCATATTTGTCGTGATTTTGAGCTTATCACAAAATAAGATAATTTTGCTCAAATTAGACCCCATCGCTAACACTCGCGAAAATAATAGGTAGTTTGTGCATTCTCGAACGTTAAAACACTATCTATATTCTGCACATACGCAATTCAATTTTCGCATCCCTTTAGTGCATGCGCAGAAGATCAATAGTACTATTCGCTACGCTAACATCGATAGTGCTAATTTGATGAATTTGCGATTCAGCAATCGATTGCCATCTCGATCTTCTGCGCATGCGCAGATGTACGAAAGTGAGAAGAAACATGAAATGCGCATGCGCAGAAGACCGATAGTGCTCTCGATTGCTTTGTTCGAAGTTGCAAAAACTCCCTAGTAACACAATTTCCGTTACCATAATTACGTTTTGCTAATATATTGTATCATCGCTTTTAATTTTTTCGCGCTTATTGTTAATGAGTCAAAAGAATGCCTTTACTGAGGATGAAAATTAATCAAAAATTGATGTTTCATTTATGTGCACATATTGGCAACTTAAAAATAGATTAAGTATATAATCAAAATATTTATTCACTTAATATTAACTAGGAAAATAACATTTTAATTATGGCGGTGTTTATTAATTTGTAATGAAGATTTAACTAACAAAACGAAATTAAAAATAATTCAACAATTAACAAAATTGAGCCTGAAAGCTTAAACGCTCAGGGTCATCCCAAGGGGTCAAAACTTCCTCCGACTGATCAATGGCCTGAAGTCACCTTGGAACTGCACACTTAATGTTTGGAACATAATCTGCACACAGGGGTCTCAAAGTCCCTAAAATATGGAAACAAGAAAAATACAAGAATGGAATTTAAAAAGTAAAATTTATTGTATTTTAACGTATGATCTTTCTTCAGGTTTTATTAGAACGTTTACAAATACGCGTTGAAATCACTTCAAACAACTATGCAGAAGAAATGAAAATGTTATGAATTGCCATTGTCACATCGGATAAGCATCATAGACTACTATTTATATTTTATTATTTGTGAACAGAACAATCAGAAACTATACACTGGTGTCCAGTAGACCCTAGTTGCACTACTGACGAATTAGCTTCTATCTCGACGAAGTATTGGCACCAATTGAGTCTGTAAGTATCATAAGGGCATGCTAACAGTGTATTTCTAATTTACGTAAAGTGCTATGCTACTGACGTTATAAATTTCCACTCGGTGTGAATTTGTTGGGGTCCATTAGACCCCAATGTGCAGTTCTAGGGTTAAATCGGATAACAGATTGAAGTCATCGGTTATCTGGAGATAATTCAAGGACTGGCTACTCTGATCGGTAGTTTTCTGTGGCTTATCCGATCAGTACCAGAAGAATACCAATTAAGTTCTCTGACAAACGGGCCACAGAGCGCGCGCGATCTTTCCAACCTCTTCCTTGAGCTATTTGCATTTATTACTAACACACACTCTTAAACGCACTACATTAGCACACATATAGGAAGACCATCGGAATATTAAGAGTTGTCTGGCTGGGGCGGTTCCCCGCCAGAGGAGATACTTGGTTGAGGAAAATCCCCGCAAACCGACGTAGGTCGGCGCCGTGTTTCACCATCCAGTGGGAGATAACCGCCACCTCCTGCGGTGAAAATATGCACTAAACTTGCGGAACTAATGACCTTAGCAGTTGTCGCGCCCGGAATCATGTTTGCTATGGGGGTCATTAATCAGCCATTCAAAACCAACGTGAAGGTCGGCAACGCGCCCGGAAACGAAATAATCAATCAATCAAATCATTCATTTTATTTGCCTAGATTCAGATTCCCAACCCTGAATTCTTATTCAGAAAGAGAATTCGTGAAATGTTTGATCTCATACTTCAATCAATATGTAAATTATCTCAAAGCGTTGTCCCGTGCTAATGTTAGTTTTAGTTGCGAAATTTACTAGCGAAAATTTTACAATTCTTTTTCAAAATTCAGGCTCTGGTCGAACGAGTCACTCAGCAAAGTGCTGCCAACACCCTACCGTAAACATACAGATGACGCGCCTGACCAATATGAGGGCCTACTCTTAATTCATAGTTGGTAGTAGGTTGACACGCTTAGTTATAAACCCTTACTCAACCACTGTTCCACCAACCGACTAAACTTTTTGTGGTTTTTCGAGGAAATTCTCTCGAGTCCAGTTGCAGCCATAATAAGGAATAAACTTCGTTAAAAATTCAGTTGACATCAAATTTGCCTAAAGATTTGTTTACTTTGGGATAAGACTTAAAAAATTGGAAAGGGATTACATCTTTATTGGGGGTTGAAAGGCCTTCAATTCCCGATTCCGCGCATCACCATAGTTACAGCACTGCTGCTTCTTGATATCTAACCCAATAATAATTGTCAGGGGCGCCTAGAGAAAACTATGTGCCTGGAGCAGTTGATCCATGGAAATCCCTATATTCAAACAAAAAATTCCCTCCTCTCCCACTTCATAAATAGAATTAATTCCTCCATGCATCAGAAATAACTTATTGCATTAAATTTGGATTAGAGACGATTTTTTTCCCTTCTTCCTGAGTGAAGAGAAGTTCGGGCCCCAACTAAGTTGGAGCCCCCAGCCCTTCTGGTCACTCCTGATCAACCAGACATGGTTATATATATTTTGCTTCCAGGAACTTCCAGCAGATGACAGGGGCAAATAATTTTTTTTGATTCCAGGAACTCCCAGCACGTGACAATGCTCATACTTAAATTTACTCTGTACCTTGTATTTTTCCTTGAATTTTTTCATAAAATTTAGTAGGTAATAATGGCAGTTGCCTATATGTTAAGTTTTAATATTTGATTGATTTGATTGCTTACAGGAAAGATTGCGAATACCCTTTAGAAGTGCTAGACTTCATTTATTTTGAGAACAAAAACAGATCTGTACTAGAAGAAAACTATCCATGTGAACTCAGGGTTTTTTGGGTGAAAGACTTGAACAATTTTGTTACCTTGGTTCGCTTCCTTCTGGATTATGTATCAGCTGCCATAATTATGTTTGGTGAGATAATCATATTTTTATATCATAGGTACTATGTCTAATATTTCCATTTCTAATGATAAAATCACAAAACCCCACTCCGCTTCCTATTACTGCTTTTTCCTAAATCATATTCTCAAACCCCACTTCTGATTTACTGTAGTAATTATGAAACTGCTTTCACAAGAATATATATTATCTCTAAAATATATTTGAAGGCAGTATCTGATAATACACTAATAATCAAGTAATTTTTTTTAAATTATTTCAGATTTTATTTTCTAGTATGGAATTGTTTCAAAACATAGTGAGTTTCTTTATTACATAAACAAGCAGAATAATATGTTATATTTCAATACATCTTACTCTTGGAATGCATGTTCTGTTCCGTATATTAATGAAGACTTATTGAATAAGTTGTCTTATTTAGAAGAGATTAAGCATTCCTGCTCACTTAATCTCTCCATGCTGATTATACGTATCTTATATTGAAAGAAAATTTTACAGCTATTCTGCCCACTATATTTGTTGAATCAAATTACATTACCACAAAATAAATGAAAATATGTTAAATTTAGAAAACACGTTTTTGGTATTTTTTTGTTATACTGCTTGTTTTCTCAATTGAATTTAATAAAGACCACACTCTAACACTTCACTTTTTTTCAGGGTTATTTTTCAACACTATAGCATTTTTAGTTCTTAATTCTGCCCCACTAAATACTACAAGTTTGTCGGTGTACTTACGTGTGCTAGCAATTTCAGATAATGGTGCTCTCATTTTTAGTTATGGTGTTGGAATTTTGCGAGGCCATTTCCCTTCTTTTAATAATTACTACATGGTAAGATCCATTTAGTACAGTTCTTCTTGATTTTTTTCTCCTCATTATTAAGAATTTTTATGGACTATTTTTTTACGAGAGCAATTATAATATTGTAATTCTAATTATTTTTATTTTTACAGGATCACATATGGGCATGTGAACTTCACAAGGTCACAGCAGAGATGTTTTTTTTAGTTTCAGCTTGGCTTGTTGTAGCCCTCACTATTGAACGGTGGTTGGTAATCCATAGCCCATTTGGAATTGGATACCATTGTAACACACGGTCTGCAGAATATACAGTCATCATTTTGGGTTTATGTCTTTTACCTCTCGCTCTCACAAAAATATGGTTTGCAGGTTAATAATAAATGAGATTATCAATGTTGAAAATATATTTAATGTATATGTCATTGGCATTTTTGCTGTAAATGAACATTACAGGTATGGAACAAGATAGTGTTTTCGGGCACCAGTCTTGCATTCTGTTGGAAAATGGTTGGGATGAGGCAGTTTATATGTATGTTGCTGCTGTAATTTGGGTTCCTCTGATTTTAATTTCTATTGGAAATTTAGGAATCCTTTGTGAAATATGGTATTCTGCAAGAAAACGTTCAAAGTTAGTAGGTAATATTGTTTTTCTTTTCAAACTACCTTTTTCTAGTAAAACTGTTGCCAAACTTAAGAGTCATTGTAATCACAAACCCTAATCACTGTAATCACATTCCTTAATATACGCATCTCAGACATTCCATTTATCGGGGTCAGTCTCATTTTTAAAGAAATATTGTCCCTGTGACCCATCAAAGGACAACTGGGGATATAACAAGTCCCACTTTTCACCAAAAGAGTTGAAACGGTTGCAATCTTTAACTTTCAGCTCTTTCTAGCTTTTATACTTCAGATATTTGTTTCTAAATTTGTAAATTTTGCAATATAAATTGTTAAGTTGAATACTAGCTTTGTCTGCAGTATTTTGTGAAAGCTATGGAAGAAGAATTATTAAGGGAAACCATGCTAAGACCTTGAAACATTAATCAGCATTTAGGGAAGAATTAGCGAATCAGAAATTATCTTTCTTTAAGAGACAATCCTTTGAACAATGTATAAATGTTCAAAACATAAGAAAACCTCTTGGCATTGAAAACTATCTGTATGAAAATTTTAATTCAACTGATGGTTGTAAATTAGTGTTAAAATATTTAAAAATTACTGATTTTGAAAACTTAATTTAAATTATCGCAAAAATTATTGTAATTTATTATTCCTGTTTTCAATTCTAACCTTACTTGTCCTACACCCACCTCAGGCTTACACATACATACATTTACATGCACTACACTACCACACTTGTTGGGAGATTAGTCGGGAGCTTAAAGCTAGTCCCAGCTGCGGCGGTGCCACACTTGTGGAAGATACCTGATTAGGGAAAAACCCACATGCCAACCTACTTAACACTGGATCTCACTATTCTTTGGAGGAAAAACACCACCAACTCCCATGGTACAAACATGCACTACACATATGGGACTAATGATCTTACCAGTTGATGCACCAAGAATCACTAATCAATCAATCTAATGTTTAAAATGTGACTAATATTGATATTAATAGTGGTCACTAATGATCTTTGTCTCTAAAGTGACCTAAGAGAAAATAAAAATAAATAATAAAATCCTTAAGGAGTTGACCAAATGGCCAAGATCGCTAAGGCAGTAGTGCCATAGCAGTCTTGGATCAGAAGATTGCAGGTTTCAGTCCCGCCTTGAACATAGGTGTGTTGTCTGAATGTATGTGTGTGTCTGTATGTGTGTGTTGTCCTTTCACCCCTCACTATCATCTCCTTTCATCTTCCATACCCTCAGGGCTAACAACCCTGGGGATATAAATTGGAACTACCTAAATGCTGATCCCATGATAAATTACATGCAACTGCCACTGAGATAATGTTACTGGGCCTTGGTAAATTTAGGTTGTATGCACATGTATTGCAAGATGACCTATTCGTGAAGAAGAAAAAATCTTGAGACTTTAAGGTGTAGTAAGGTTAAAGAATTTTTGAGCTTTTGCAATTTTTAAAAATCCAGAGGTTTTAAAGAAACTCAAGACTATACTAAATTTCTAAATGTACTTTCATCATTTTAAGCAAAAAATGTAAAGGAAAAATTTGCAGTCATTTTCAAAAAATTTTGAAAATGTAACAGGGGCTTTGTTTATAGAACCCTCAAAATCAAAATATCTTAATTATCCCAGAAATGACAGTATATCTTATTTCTGACATGTTTGCCAAGTCTGGTTCAAAAGCTTCTAATCTGTCCAAGTTATATGTGACATATACTTCCATACAGACAACACTATTTTTTAGTAAAAAACAACAACTGAGAATATCCATGCCACCTGCATGAATCTTCGAAAAGCACTAACGGACATTAATCCTATCATGTGTGCAAAGTTACAACACAAAATAACCTTGCACATAGATTTTTCAACCAAAAATTTGAGATCTTTTGTTGAGGTGATTCAATATCTCTACACTCTAGGAGAGTACAGTCTATTCATTGCCTAGAAAAAGTTCATATTCCAGAAAATTTGGCTTTGATTAAATTGGAAATATGAGAACTTATAAATTTCCTATAATACATATATTGTATTTTTCTTTAAATGTTTGAACCATTGTAACGTTGAAACTGAATATGCATAAATAAAATGCAAAAGCAATTAATGAAATTAGCTGAAACATCATAATCAGAAAAGAAGACAAATAAATCTAAAAAATCCATTATTAAACTGAATAATTGCTGACTTAAGTAATCAATCCTCAACTGTAATGTGATATAATGTGAATAATTCTATTACTATGGCAAAACAATATAATTTCTATCCAGAAGCTTTTATTCATTATTGAACAGAGAATTTATTAAATTAAACAATTACTTTCTATACTCAATGAAATGAAGTCAATAATACATAAGAGACTAAAAGTTGTTGGTTTACAAGAATGTTACTTTCAATGAAGTTATTGCAAAATCCTGCAAGTTTTTGTGCTACAAAATGGTATCATTAGTAGACATAGAATGAAATCTCAGTGGTTTACCTCTCGTATATAATGCAAATAAACAAAGATATTTTTCTTCCAAGTTTGCATATTTTAAGGAAAGGGAATAAAAAGGCTAATTTTGAGAAAATTGTGTTAACATTAATGGTGCATTTAATTCACACCCTTAAAGAAGAAGTTAATTCAATTGATTCCCAGGAACTTAAAAATAAAAATTTCAGGGACCTTGCAACATCTTGAATAAACGTCATTTTTGTGAATTTTCACATTTTATTTCACAGTTAGCGTTCGCAGCCTAAACCAAGAGTGGGTAACAACCATATTTCTGGGTTTTTCTGTTGAACTTTGTTACTTGCATAAGACATATTTTATTAATAAGTAAAACATTCTATATGGAGAATGATATTATAATTTTATTATAATATAACACGATACAATTGATATTATATTTTTTTAATTACTCACTACCGCTTTCGGCACTGTAGAGGGAAAGTTCTTAAATGCTGTGCGTAAAAACGGCAAATTTTTTAGCACAAAAACTCTCATAATAGGACTCTTGTAATGAAAAAGTGGACAAATTCAGATGCTATGTTTAGAAAAAAATTCTCTAACACGTAGTGTAGCGAGAATCCGCATTTTGAGGGACCTTGATACCGAAAAAACGATTGACGGCAAAACGTCTGTCTGTGAACAACACTAGCGGCTAAACCGTTCAGCCGTTTCCGTCAAAAATTGATATTCCCCGGGCAATCTAGCTGATGTCGTGGTTTCTTCAATTTGAAACCGATATTTTTATTCGAGGGGAGGGGGTACTTTACATGAAGCCCCAGGGACAAATTTTCAAAAAAATGGCTCCACCGTTTTTCATTAAATTTTGTTGTAGGGATACTGTGAAGAACGTTTAGGAGAATGATGCAGGTCTCATTTTCGTTAATAAAAATTCTGATATTTCGGAAATTGCAAAATTCACAATTTTTTCTTCTTACAACTTAATTACGAAGACTTGATATTTTTTTCCGTTAATAAAATCTGTCCCTGAAAGATGATTTTGGAATAAGAATATGTACATATTTTTTCAAAAATTTGAGTGCTTTTCGCATAATTTGCGCGTAATTTGCGTGAAAGTGCGGGCGAGAAAGTATGCGCTGTTTGGCACTAGTTTTAACTGAACAGTATTGCCAGGTGGCTTAGAGAGCCTCTTCTCAAAATTTTTTCAATTCCCCTTCGATATTAAAATAAAATGTATTACAAAAGGCTACTGGACCCCTTTGAAAATGGCCCCCTTGGACGCTTGCCCATGGTTTTAACATTATTTCAGATATAAGTTTATGATGTAATTACAAATGTAAAATTAGTTTAATTTAAATATTTTTCAGCTTCAGACTTTGAACATGACACTACTTCTGAAACACAGAAGTTGACTCGCCTTCTGCTATTACTATCTGCTACTTACCTTCTCATACTTTTGCCACTTGGAGTAGTGGAAACAACTGAACTATACTGGGATGGAAAAAGAGTGCCATGTACAGAAGACTTCTACGTAGAATGGTAAGATTTGTTATGTGATAATTACAAAACAGCAGCTATCAATCACACACCAGTATAAATATGTACAATTTTCCTAGGATGAAGACAAAATTAGTCTTGAAATGGACCAGAGGACTGTGTGTCTTTCTCTACGAGTTGAACTTTGCTTTCAATTTTTTCCTTTACTGCCTCTCAGGAGACAAATTTCGTTGTGCAGTAAGCAGTTGGTTTGAAAAATGTATGTCTTGGAGATGGAGGAAAAAAGGTAATAAAAAACATTTTCCTTATAGGAAAACATCCCCATCAGTCATAATTATATCTAGAACAGCAAGTATTAGTAGTGGACCATTGCTCTCTGAAGTATAAAACTTCAGAATTTTTTGACATGAAACGTACTTTCACATCAGCAAACATTTTGAAAAAAATATTGATTGAGATGATTTACTTGTTATCAACCAAGGTTTGAAAATGTTGTTTTTTTAAATAATACGTAAAATTCCAAACTAAATCTTCATATTTACTGTAGGTTTCTCTTATGCTTGGTGATGTGTTAGTAATTATGTTGAAATCATACTGTTTGACAATACGGCATCAAATACAATTTGTTATAAACTGATACATTTAAGCCAAATTTCAAGTCTTCAAATGCATTCCATTGTTAACTGAAAAAAGCAACACAACTTTCTTTTTCTTTTTTTTTTCTTTCTTTCTTTTACACACAGTTTTCTTTTCAATTAAAATCATATTTATACCAAATAGTATTACATATTCAGTTTATTGAACAATCCACTTTTTTATCATAATATACATATAATTACAGTTTACTACATAATATAAATATATACATCTTCAAACACATTCCAGTGAATGACAACCATTATATACAAATAAAATAAAAAATTCATGATACAAATACTTTGTATATAATTTTGTTTTTCAAAACGAGATCTAATCAAGGAGCTCCCAGCTCAATGGTCTACCTCCAATAAGATTAATTAGTGTGTCTTGTTAAGCTCACCTTTTCATTGGTTTAATATTTCGTTTGATAATATCATTAATTGATCATATATTATATTTGACTTCAATAAATTATATTAGAAATAATACAAACAAATATTTCCTACAAGTGTCTAAATATCACGAAAGAGAGAAATTCACAGCATAAAGTAACATTAATACACCCTTATTTATATTATTTCCTATTAATTACACAAATACTGCCTGTTAAATAAAGTAACAATTCAATAATTAAAACTTAACAATTGTAAAACAAAATTACAAACCTAAAACATTATTATGCTTTTTTGTATTATCACTATAGAATACACTTAACCTAAATAGTCAGTACGAATGTTCAAAGCTCTACTGGATATGGAACATGATGGATACAAATTAGTACCAAGTTCTGTTTAGGCACTTAATCAGTCATGTTAATTTTCCTCTTCATTTCTTACAAAACTGATCCCAAGAGCATAGAAAATTTTGTAAAAATGTGTTTATTATTTGCTAATCTTAAAAAGTGTGAAATATGTTTAGGCACAAATCTGTACAAGAATTAAAAGAATTTGAAGAATGTAATTTTCTTAAAATGTAATTTGCCTTGCTTGGTGATATTGACTGCAATATATTGTAAGGAGAATTATCCAATCTCCATATTTAATTACTGAGTCGTTGCCATTGTTATTTAGAATGAAAAACCTTTTACCTCAATTGTGGTACTTTAATTGAAAATGAGATATGAAAATGTAAAATGGTATTAATATTTGTAAAATACTCGAGTCTATTTGATCCTGAGAACTACATACATACAAACTTGTATATAAGTAAAAACTAATGTATAATAGCTCCTTCATATAAAATGGAATATTATCAGTTCAATATGCAATATTGTACAAAGATAATTTTACAAGAGTTTGCTTTATCATAAATGATTATCATAAAAGGTATGTTTAATACATAATGTAATTCTTATTGAGAAGTGTTCACTTCACTGAGCCTACAAAATGTGATATACTTACAACCTGTAGAACACCATAATTGCCTTTTCAAGTTACAAAAACAAACAAAAAATTGTTCACCAGGATATCATAACACTTTCTACATATAATAACCAATGGTTTAAGGTACAATGACTAAATAACATGATTTACATAAGCATACAATTAAATATATCACATAAATAACTTCGAGAACTTAACATATCTTAAAAATCTTATCACAAAATGTACATGGAAAATTATTATACATTTATGCAATTATGTTCTCGAAATATATCACTTTGCGCAAGATGATACTCTTAAACCTACGTTTGGAGGACATTGTGTAAAACTTCTCATAATGTGCATGAGAAAGTTTTTTGATATAACTAAGTGGCACCATTCATTTCAATTTCCAAGCCCTAATTTATGGTTTACGTTGAGGTAACCCAGCAGGTACGTGGTCAACGAACGAAGCAGGAAATTGCCCTCTGTTTCCTTGATACTCCCCGTACAGCCAGTCAGAATTAACTTGACTCAAGACCTGGATAACTGCACCCTCCTATAAAAAGAAAATGTTAACTGCATTACAAGACAAGGGCAACATCTCTAATACGGCTGTCCAAATCTACTCTAATGATCACAATGGGGTCATCTTTCCCACACCCTCTTCACCATCACTACACTAGAAAGAGATGGATAAATGGCAATGCATAATTGTTATGATTGTTCCCAAATGTTATGGGAGTGCTCTAGCATACTCAGGGATACACTTCAACACCAATATTGCTATCATGAAAACTTTGGTTACATCTTTTTATATTATTGCACAGGAAGGGAATGTCTTTTTGTGATGAAAAAATCATCACCTTCCTCGAAAACTTCTCCATTCAAAACTTTATTCACAGAATATATTACCTATAGTGTGTACATGTTCTGCAGAACGTTTCTGACCTAGCACACTCATGCTATATTATTTCAACACAAAAGAACTGTGCAATAAACTCACAAAGGCTCCACTTGGCAAGGAATCACTAAATTGCAAGGCCACTTAACACATAAACTTGAAACTCAGTCCTATGAGCCCCTGCTTAAAGGAGAGGGATAATAAATACTAGACTAGCAACATTGCACAGCCACTGTTGCAATTTTATAAGCCAAATAATACTACAAGTAATGTACAAATACATTGTTTTGGCAACATAAGGAACGTTCTCAATTATGCAACACCATTCATGCATTCATCTATTTCTGTGTCTTCTTCAATATTATATTCACTCTGAATCCTTCCTTCCATCTGCCTCTGCATTTGAAAACAATCCATACAACAAATACTCTACTTTACGTATCGATAAGAATGTATTATTTCATCACTCATGATGATTTGTCAATCTGAAGGAGTAACATTGGGAAACTATAAAACAAAAGCCCTTATCAAAGAATAATAAAAAAGTAATTTTCAATTAATATAAAAGTTCTTTTTTAAAATTAAAGATTTATAAACAAAAACCAAATTCTTAAACCAAAAACTGTTTTACAGAGCAACCTCATTTATAGAATAAAGAGTATTTAAGTAGAAGCATGCAGACACTTACAGGAAAATTTAAGTCATCCCATTGCTGTGCAGGGAATGGATACAATGCAGTTACGGTTTGTACTCCAGAATTAGCAGCTACAGATTCTTCCAATGGAACAATAACTTCAATAAAATTAGCAGGAAACATCCCTTGTTGGTTACCTTTCTCACCAAGCAGCCATTCATCGTTCACTTTCTTCAAAATGTGTATTACATCATTACACTGTAAAAGGAAAAGACAACATTAGTTATAAAGATAAAATAAGAAGTCTACATAAAGAGTCCTTTAAATAAAACAAAGATGAGAAGAGACAATAGAAATAAAAGCACTTCAAAGATCTACAATGAGATTGGAGATTGAAAAGTAGGGGGATTGCATAGTACTTTAAATTTCTGTTTTATAAAAGTAAAATCTGGTCAACATTTCACAGCTCCCTTGTTTGTGAAGAAAGACAAAAGGCCATGAGAATATCTATATTCCAATGACTCATTTTTATAAATGGTTTGTGTTTGCTTTTTAATTTGGCAATTATATTTTAATTTTTCAGATAATATATTTAACCTAACATATCGATGTAGGAGTAAAACATTATAAACGTAAGTGGTAGGGTCAAAAATTCTAGGATATTTTCTATACCAGTTTTTGAATGGTTTCAAGAGAAGAAAATATTTCAACAAAAATGAAAACATAAGGTACCTTAAAAGCCAGATCATCAGGATGATTTGTTTCATAATCATACAAGGCAACACCATGAGGCATTTTCTTGTTACTCTGCAACAAGACCACACTTTAAACATTCTCTTTCTAGCAAAAGAAATTTAAAACTTTGGACGTTTAACACAATACATACCACTTGAGGTTTCCGAGGCGGCAGATCAGGCAAACTTATGGGAAAATCTATTTCTGAATTTACATTTTCTGGAGGTGGAGGAGGTGGTACAGAAGGCATTGGAGGGGACCATTCACGCGAGTGATCTCGTTTTTCGTTTTCACTGGTGTATGAGAAAGGCTTCGAAGAATCAAACACACTAGTGTTATTATTCAAGGACAGCATATTTTGCAAAGGTCCTTGATTGGCTGGTTTGATAGCATCTTTGATTTGAGTTGGCTTTGGGGGAGCAGATGGTCTATTAGGTTTAGCTCTTATGATTGTTGGCATGACACTTGTAACAGGTGGTGGCTTCAGAGCACCCACTGAACTAGCCTTGTTAATTTCATTTCCAGGAGAATCATTGAACCAAGTAGTGTTTGCTGCATTTGACACAGATTCTTGTGCTCGAGGAGGTGAGAAAGGATCTTGGGGACTGACACTCCATGGGTCTTTCTGATCACTTATTGGTGTTTTCACTTGATTATTTGAAAGACCTCCAAAGAAATCAAAATCGTCTTCAAAACCACTCTCAAACAATGAAGCAGTTCCACCACTTGGTGTATTGCCATTGTTGGATGCTGAACCATCACTACCAAAACTATTAACACTCACGCCATCACTACTGGATCGTGTAGTAAAGGTTGGAGAACTAGATGGAGAATCAAAGTCAATGAGTGATGCAATAACCACATTATGATCTCTTGTTACGACTTGCTTTTGCATTGTTGTACTAGAAGAAAGGGTTCGCTGATTTGACCTCGAAAATAATCCTGACAATACATTGCTTTTGTTCTGGAAATATACAAAAAAAATTAAATTTAAAAATAAATCAGATTTTATTTAAGCACACAGAAGGCTTATTTATCATACCTGTTTAGAATTGTGTGGTTGATGATTGTTAATTTTAGGTGGAGGGGGGCGAGGAGGTGGTTTCTTCTTGACAGCTGGTGCTGGACCAATGTGTTGAGCAGAGAAGGATCTGGATATGTTGCCATTTGAAAACGGGTCATTTCTGAAAACATTAATTAGATACAAAGGACGAAATTCTCAAAAAAATAGCAACTTTCTATCACTGATGACAACTCACCCATCATCCCAACCATCGAAAAAACTAGAACTCCTTTGAAAAGTTCTGTTAGGTCTACTTGAAGGAGGTGCCGGAGCAGGACGGACTGGAATTTTCATGCCTGTAATAATTCCGTCACAAACAGATCAAAATAACCACCAAGACAGACTCGAATTAGTGACAGTGGTAATGGTAACTGTCGAATTCAAACATGATGTAATAAGCGACTTGTCATAAAAAAACAATCATATTTATTCGAAACTGTCAATAATTTTATAATTGACAGAACACTCGCAAGAAAATGTCATAAAATTACCCGACGAGTGAAATTGTTCGAAAAAATTTACAATCTGCGATCTATGAACACATGACCTCGGGCAATCAACTATGTAGCTTTTAATAACAGTATAGACTGACGCGACCGAAGATCTTTATTCATTACGCAAAGTAATCAGTAGACTCATCAAATCAAGCCCGAAACACAACAAGGATATAACGACGGTAAATTAGTGTGGCATTATATATTTACACGAAAATGACACTCACCTGTTTGAGGATACGAAACCATTTTTGTTCTATCATAGAGTGTGCAACATCACACTTGACTCTCCTTGACAAGCATGTGTGTACGTGTATGGAGAGAAGGAGGCGTCCCAAAGAAGTACACTTTTTGTCTACAGATGGTGCTGTAATCGGATTCATTACTTGTTTTGAAGAAGACCCGAACTCCGTAAGACCCGTTTCGTGCCGATTTAAAGGGGTTGGAGGAAACACTTTCCGACTGACGAAAGCAAGAGAAAGTTGGTTATTTTGTTTACATAAAAGTTTATTGTCTTTACATGTGAATATTCATCATGTCTAGTCTACAGAAGAGTGTGTTAAAATCGAAGTTGCCACCGATAGTTCCCTCAGCACCTCTTCAAAGCAGGTAAATACTTGTAACCCTAGTAATGTTGTCATGTTGACACTTCGATTTTGTTATTTTTCTACTTGCCATTTATTTTCTTCATATTTAAATATAATGTATGAAAAATGTTATAAACATGATAATGATAAAATATATTGAATGCATACAATGACCTTTCATTTTTTGAGTGTTCATCATCAGGTGGATGATATTGTAATGAAATAACTGTTAATGTCAAGGGGAGCTCGTCGAGGATTAGCTGGCAGGAGACGTGATTATACTCCCGTTCAATGGGATGCATACTTCACAGAAAATGAAGATATTCGAGTAAATAATAACAAGTTTCGTGTCTACAAATTGGGAACCACTGGCCCAGTGTTGATGCTTTTACATGGTGGTGGATTCTCTGCATTGACGTGGTCACTCTTTTCTGTAAGTTATTCAGTCAAGTATCAAACACTTCAATGGTAGCCAAAATTTGTTGTAGGTTAACGTTTATTAATTATTCTAAACTTTCAATATCTTCAGGCCTCTGTTACTGGTATGGTTGAATGTCGTGTTGTGGCTATGGATCTCAGAGGACATGGTGATACTGTCACAGAGGAAGAAGAAGATCTGTCAGCAGAAACAATGGCAAAGTAGGTATATTATTTGTAAGAATAGCATTTTGTACAATGCTGACACATTCAAACGGAATATGTATTGTTCCTATGTTCTTGGGTTGTAGTCTGAAAATCGCTATGCTGTCATTCAAAGTGATATTTCTAGTCATGGCTGCATACTTCTCTTCAGCACTGAAATGAATGAGAAAATTTTTTCAGACCATAGTGCATCTTAACTGCAGTCAAAAATTTAACTGTGAGTTTGTTTCTCCAATTTTAGTATACAAAATGTAACTGTTAAATTTTGTTATGTTCAAAAGGTGCTGAAAAATTTTTATATAAAATTTCTTCTGTCTTTTTCTAGAAAGAAAGTGCATAAGAATTCATTTGTCTGCAAAATCCACTCCACCTATTCCTTTACTTTATCCTACACATACAGTTGCCTTGAATTTCAATTGTCCTCTTTTTCTCCTTTACAATTTTCCCTAAATGTGGGGATAGTTGTTTCTGGTCGTGGATAGTTGACAGCTTGATATTAGCCGTTTATCTTTCCATTTCATTGCCATCAATTCTGTTCTACCGTGTTGGAAATTCTCCTTCAGCTAACTTTGTCTTCATGTTCTTTGGTACCTCATTTCTACTTCCTCTCTCTGTTGTGTGTGTGTGATTTTTTTGTTTTTTTTTGACAAAGGAGATTGAAAAGAATAGGCGAGGAATAATGTTTGTTCACGTGAAGAATGTAGCCCTTATTTAGAAGCTTCTGCAAGAGAGTGATTACTATCAGTGATCCAATTTATTCATTTTTAATTCTAAAACCATTTCAGGGATATTGGTGCTCTTACCGGTACACCAGCATAATGTACTCATATCCTGATAAAGACACACTGATAGGATTCCATCCAAAAATGAGCTCTCTTTTACGCAGACAAACTTTCCAGACATTTGCCATTCCACAAAAGCAAACTCTCATCTAATGCTCTACCACTCTGAGGAGTATATGATGATTGAAATTTTTCCACCAAATAATCTAAAACTGTCTTGATTTTGAATGTGGTTTATATTACTATTTATAACAATTTTTGAGTTGTCATTGAAGTGGATGGATTTCAGCAGTAATAAAACCTTATGTCTGTCATAATTACTCTGATAATGATAATCATAATTTGCTAAAAAGATAAGATGTTGGCTTCTGTTTGATACCTTGTAATAAAAGAAGGGATATCAGCATTTTCCCCTCAGGATTTATTTCTTCCCAATCATGATCACTGTGTCTTCATTTGAATGTTTCCTTTTGTAATTTTGCATCTACAAAAATCATAAAAATTGTGTGGCATATAAGTTTATGTGCATTGCTATAAGATCTGCTAAGTCATTAGTAAACAAATGTTAATATTTCTAGAGAACACGGAATTCACTGAAATTTGCATGTATTCTAGTATTACCAAAAAAAGATACATAATATGTTGTGCTGATCCAAATGGTTCCCAGTCTACCACATCACCATTTGTGAATCGCTTCAGCTGTTGCTGCTTAAATCTGATGTTGATTTACTCTCATTCAAAAGTAATAATACTTGTTCAATAGTAATTTCTTTGACACCATTTCTTTGAGTTTCTTACTAGTAGATATGCTTCTATACAACTGTAACTGAATCAACATTGCAAATGATAATTTCACTGGAATTGTCAGACAATCAAAGTAATATCAATTTCAGAAAAGATAGTATATCTATAATGATAAAAGTCATTTTATTAATATTTGTAGATAACAAATAGCAGACAGCAGCAGCTAAATACCTTCATGCTTATCCACAGTTGACACAACCAATGAAAAGAATGGCTGATGTTTTGTACATAATTGATGCAGTTAAAGGGTCAAAGTTGTGAGAGAACTTTAACCCATTAATGCCTAGTGGTCTATTTATAAATCAGTTGACATTTTTTCATTTCTGAGTATGTTATTTTAGTCAGGACAATTTTCATTGGTCCACAGTTTTATTTGGAATCTAGTATACTGAAAAATGTATACATATTTCTTTTGCACCCATATTTAAAAATTCATCCAGGAATTTTCTAAACTCATTATCGTGTTGACTACACGGAATTTTCATTTGAATTGTATTCCAATAATTAATTTTGTGTTATGAGTATAATTGACCAGTTGCTATCTTCTCAAAGTATTCTGCTAACATTCTTTGCAACAATGTAATATTTCTGCACGCCCTATCTGAAGATACATCATTACAAAATCTGCTGACCAGATATAGCCTGCTGGGTGCCCAGTGCGTTGAGGACAGTAACTTGATCCAATAAGTTTCCAATAAGCTGTCATCGATGACTGCACGTAGACAAGAGCCCATGTCTCACTCGATCATTTCAGTCTATGCTGTGAGTTGATCCGCTCGTTTTTTGTTTTATTCGAATCTTTGATAATTATTATTGGAAGAAATTTGAATATTTAACTTGTAAGTTGAACTTTCAATTTTTATTTCTTGAGAAAATTGATGCATAATGGACGTAGTTTTCATACATGTGGTGCAATTATGTCAAATGTAATAAGGAAGGGTCATGCAGTAAAAGAAATAGTAGACATTGTAGTTGAAGATTTTGATGAACTAGACGAGGAATGTGACACGGTGGATGTTGTGGTTCTACCTCCAGGCACCATAGATGCACTGACTGACAATGATGAAGCGCTGAACGATATCACAGGTTGTGCTGTTACAAATGATGTTCCCCTAGGCACCCCCTACATATTCAACACTTAATGACACACAAAGTTCATGCCCCAATGTTACTCGAGAAGAATTGAAAAAAACACTGAAAGGCTTGACTCCACTCCAACTCACAGAAATGATAATTAACTATGAAAATATTGTGAAACACTCAGTTTATTATGTGACTACTTCAAAAAATTGTCCTGAAGTTACCTTAGATGTAGACGAACTAAAAGAGTTCCTAAGAATTTTGCTGCTTTCCGGGTATTATACTTTATCCTCAGAAAGAATGTACAATTTATAAAGGGAAAACCCATTTGATTTGATTACAAGTTGTGTGGTTCTAATGGTTACTGCTACAATTTTAATCTATATTGTGGAAAAGTACTGGAATCTATTGGCAAAGCTGAATGTGACTGGAGAAAAATTTGGGTCTTGGGACACGGATGGTATTGAAAATGTTGGACTGCATTTCTGATCGTTCAAATCATGATGTGTACTTTTACAACTATTTTATGTTTGATGAAATTACTGAAGTTTTTTTTTTTGTCAGATGGCATGGCAATAAGTCTATTTCAATAGGGATAAATTTTGATGCTTTAGAATCAATCGTTCCAACAAGTAGGAGGAGTAAAGCCTCCGGAACAAGAATAAATATAGGCCAACCGCAGGTAATAAAAAATTTCAATGCTCACATGGGAGGCATAGACCACCACGACTAGCTTGTGGGGAAAATACAATATTTCTGCTATAGGGAAAAAATGGTATTAACTCCTTTGCACACGTATGATCAATATGGCAGTGGTAAATGCTTGGATGTTGTACAGAACAGTTCATGGAAAAGAATCGTTGGATCTTCTAGAATTTCACAGGAATATTACTGTGCACTATCTGAAGATGCTACACAACAGACAGTGGGGCGTCCAAACTTGTCATTACACAAAAACATTCCAATAGATATGCGTTATGATGGGAAATATCACTATTTAGGCAAGCGAGCATTTCAAAGGCACTGTTAGTACGAAGGATGTAAAGAAAGACCATTAACTTTCTGCCAGGAATGCAATTTAACGCTTTGACGAAAGTGTTTGAACCTTACCATACATTGTAAAAGAAATGCATTACATTACAGTTGATAATAGATTAATTCAATATATTTCGCATAAATGTTTTTTAGTACAGATAAACATAAAAAACTGAGTTTTTAGTTTGGTGTATTGCATGTTGCATATTTTTTGTTAGAATAGTAATTTGCCCAGCGGTCTATTTATAGATCAGCATATAAATAAAAAACTAGTAGCGAAAACTAAGTTTTGTTTTATTTTCTAGAGTCACACTCACTCCAATAGTAGATGTAATCAATATAATTGAAATATAAGAGAAAAAATTAAGTTGGGCATTATTGGGTTAATAACTTCAAATCTAATATGGAACTAATTTGAATTGCTATTATCTCAAGATCTTGGGGAAAGAGAGAAATTAAGTTTAAAAGTTTTGTGTTTATAAAAACTAATATCACACTGTTCAACTTTTTGTTTGGTTCTACTTGCTACAATGCTGTTTATTCTTTTTTGTTCTTTATTCAATGCTTAAATACTTCATAAAACAGCACTGTTTCATATTTTAATGTGATATCACATATTAGGTGACTTATCTAGTAAAAAAAATCTTAAATCTAAATAGTAGTTCATTAATATGTGATTTGAAAGGAAAAATGAAAATGAATGAAAAATTGTAGCATCATCGTGATTCTTAACAAACTGTGTTTTTCAATGATCCAATGCTGATTTATCAGATTAATTATATTTAGTATATTTGAATGAACACAAAGACATCTCTATTAATTGAACTACAAATTCAATTAACTTCCTAAGTATGATAGAACACTCAAATATAACTATTATTAATACTAGTGGAAATCCGTGTGATAAATACTAAATCATCAGGACGTCACAGGAAGTTTAAAGTGGAATCATTTTACTTGTTTGGATATTTATTTACCTTGTTCATCTATTCATACAGGAAAAGAGTTGCGTTCTGACCTGTAGTGTGTCCTCTCCCTAGTCTGGCCTGCTATGGTTTGGTTTGCACTGCTCTGCCCTGGCCTACTCAGCCCCACCTTGCTCCTTGCCACTGGCCTTGCTGTGTTGTGCCTTGCCTTGTGTGACCCTAATACTGCCTGTCTTACTGCCAGGATGTGTGAGATGTCAACATTTCAAAAACAAAATTTTCTTATTATTAATATTTATGTAAAATACACAAAAATGTGAACTATGTGTGCAGATAGAGGGGACTTCAATTGTCAAGAGACACCTCGTTTGATGCGATTAACTGAGCTGTACAACTGTAAAGGGGATGTTTACATAACATGTTATAGAAATAACGTTTGTGATAAAGACATTACTGTGTTGCATTTACTTGATACTAATTGCACAATTTATTGCAGTGTTGTCTCAGTGTGATGCAACTTTAATATGAAACTTGTTATGCTACACAGACTGCAATAGAAATAGAATAGAAAGACTTCAGACTGTCCCGTATTAGTTTCCTATTTCCTTTGGTCTCAGCTAGCTTTTCGAACTTGCCACATACTTTTGCCTGCTGCCATCTATCCCTGCCAAAGTATTTTTTTTTTTTTTAATTTCTTAATTTTTTGCTTTCTTAGTAGTAGAACAAGTATTGTTTGTATGTATATTAAAGAACAGTAAAACTTTGTCTTAATGGCCATTTTGCTTTGAAAAATTTGGAGAATTTTTTAAGAAAATAGCGCTTAAGCGTTAAGTTGAGTAAATTTGAAATTTAAAGCACGTTTTCACAGTCAATTATTGAGTTTTTGAAAAACTTTATTTGAAGTCATTTGCAGCACTTAAACTCGCAAATACAATAGTGTTTACAAATCGCTGGAAATGTGCATATTACCAGCAGAGAAATCTTTTATAAAAATTATAATTGTGTAATTTTTGAAAAAAACAAAAAAATACTTCGAAATTAACTTTACCTCATAGTTATGAGTGCAATAAAAACTATCTGTTTGAAAAATTTGAAGAAAAAATTTTGATAAAATGGAGTTGGCACATTTCTGAAAATGCGAAATTTTGAGCTAGTTTTGGCAGAAAATTGTTGAGTTTTCCAAAGCTTCATTTGACAATATTTAAAGCACTTATACTCATAAATACTATAATGTGAACAAATTGCCACTAATGTAAATATTAACAACGTTAGAGACAAGTCACAAAAAAAGTTATAAAAACGTGGCAAGGCGCAGGCCATGAGGCCTGCTCTTCTATCTGACATGCAAATTTCACTACACTCCTTGCACCAACTAGAAGAGAAAGGTGGTATTTCTTGGGGGAGAAACAGGCAATTTTAATTTAGCTCAGAGGTGCCATTTAGGCTTGAGGATCTTTTACATGCGAGTAAATCTACTAACATGGGACAACCGGCTTTACTTCCCCTCCGAAGGAAGGCGTACAAAGAATTTTTTCGCCCTTAAAAATCCACGGCTTCAGTCAGGTTTGAACCCGCCAACTTGGGTACCACAGTGTGATTTGCTAACCGTTACACAATTGCTGCGCGATGTTACATAGACAAGATAATTTGCATGATTTGGGCCATGGAAGCTTTTGACATTGCATTTTTTAATTCCTTTGTAGTATCAGCTATAGAAAGACTTCACAGAATATGAGATATTTGTTTTATGTATGTGTTACAGAGATGTGGGTGATGTTGTGGCTGGACTGTATGGTTCCGATCCTCCATCAATTGTTTTGATTGGTCACAGTATGGGTGGGGCCATTGCTGTCCACACAGCCATAAAAGACTATATTCCTTCACTCATTGGACTTGCTGTCATTGATGTGGTAGAAGGAACAGCTCTTGATGCTTTGGCAAGCATGCAAAGTTTTCTGCGCAGTCGTCCCTCTTTTTTCAAATCACTTGAACATGCAATAGAATGGTGGTAAGTATAATGTGTGATTTTTAATTATTGTGCATTTATAATTCAACCATTGGCTTTTTCCTTACAGGAATATCATGTACATGTTCTTATGTGCCTTGGTACCAAGATTCCTACATTGATAATGCCCACATCTTTTGTCACAATATACCATTACTATAGAACTATTAGAGACAAATTTCTCTTATCTTCAGTCTTTACTGTGCTAAGGAAACAGAAATTTCATCAGTTACAACAGTCGTTTTGATATTATCAACAATGGCTAGGATCCTTCTATTTACCATCAGCAACATTTGCTGCATTTTATTTGTCTATTTACAATATTTTGACTTCAGTTGGAATCTGTCCTAGACCTGTATGTTGGAATGTTTGGTGAACTTATCATTCATTTGTTGAAATACATTTCACTATCATTTGTATTTCTTGCTCCAAAGTTGTGATTAGTATCGCTTATATAAAAAATAATCACATTATTGAGATTAGGAAGAAACTAATGGATTAAGATTAAGGTTCAACAGATATTTCCATGGAGTAGGAACGGTAATGTAACAAGGTAAACTAGAGGTGCTAAAACAGCGTTTACTTTTTCGCCCATAAATTCACCCAAAATTGTGCAAAAAGAACTCAAACTTTCAAAAAATTGTACATGACCTCATTTCAAAATCTGTAAATAACAAATTTCATTGAGAATAAACACCTCTTTTCATAATTGTAGTTGTAGGAAGATGCCAAAAGAATTTTGAATTTTGGCAATTATTAGAAAATCAGTCTTAAGTGAAAATGATCACCATTCTCTTAAACGTCCTTCGTACTATCCAACAACAAAATGTAATCAAAAACAAAGGAACCATTCTTTTTAAATGTCCTGGGGCCCTTTAGTTGTAAGAAGAAAAAATTGCAATTTCCAAAATATCAGAGTTTTTATTAATGAAAATGAGACCTGCATCATTCTCTTAAACGTCCTTCACAGTATCCCTACAACAAAATTTAATGAAAAGCGGTGGAGCCATTTTTTTGAAAATTTGAAAAATGTCCCTGGGGCTCCTGCTCATATCTCTTAACGTCCTTCACAGTATCCCTACAACAAAATTTAATGAAAAGCGGTGGAGCCATTTTTTTGAAAATTTGAAAAATGTCCTGGGGCTTCATGTAAAGTACACCCCCCCCCCCCGA